CAAACTATTATTTTTCTGATGCTAAAGTTTCTACAAAAATTACATACAATCTGCAAGTATTGTGTTTAATTAAAACCGGTCACTCTTTACAGATACAACCACCTGCAGTGTCTGGGTACTTTTAAAAAGCCCTGGGCCTGTCTCTCATCTATTTCTCTGTAATAAAAGGAAATGAATATTCATTAATCAAACGCTCCAAAGCTTATCTGCCCACAAAACCTTTTATTAGCTTACTCATATCCTAGCGTGTCAGTAGAGTAGGCTGAGATTTCAAAAGAACCTTGATAAGAAGCAAAAATTAATTCGGGGGGCTTTAACCGTGGACAGGACTACAATATTGTTTTTTAAGGAGAAAATGGATCACTAATTCTAGCTATTTTGAAATACTGTTCACTGTTACTGTTGCCAATAAAGGCAGAACCCCGTCTAAAAATCTTGAGCTTCTTATACCAAAAATGTTTTTCCTTCCTCAACCCTATACAGGTAATCTTCGACTTACAACCATTTGTTTAGTGACCGTTCGAAGTTATAACAGCATTGAAAAAAATGACTGGTGACCGTTTTTCACACTTATGACTGTTGGGAGTCTCCTTGTGGTCACATGATCAAAATTCAGACGCTTGGAAACTGGCATGTTATTTATGACAGTTGCTCTGTCCCGGGGGGGGGAGGGTGTCATGTGATCACCAGCTGGCTTCCAACAAGCAAAGGCAATGGGGGAAGCCAGATTCACTTCACAACCACACGATTCGCTTAACGGCTGCTGTGATTTGTTTAACAACCGTGGGGGAAAAGGTTGTGAAATCAGGCACAACTCCCTTAACAATGGCTTAGTAACAGTAATTTTGGTCCCAAGTGTGGTCGTAATTTGAGGACCACACCTGTACAGTTCTTTATCATTCAGTCTCTTAATAGTACATTATTGAGGGGGCTAGAGTATGAGTGACCATTGGGCGTGATTAGTACTCACTCAAAAAGAAATCACCGGGAAATATTTATTTATTTATGTCCCGCCTTTATTATTTTGATAAATGACTCAAGGCGGCAAACACACACAATATTACTCCCTCCTCCTCAGGGGTGGGCTTCAAAAATTTCAGCAACGGGTTCTCTGCCTGGTTGCTGGGTAGGCGTGGCCATGGTGGGCGTGGCTTAGCCAGCCTCATGCACCATGGTGGGGGGGGGATGTTTTCGCCTTCCCCAGGCTCTGGAGGCTTTCCTCGAGCCTCTGCGAGGGCGAAAACTGCCTCCCCTGGGCTCTGGAGGCCCTCCGGAGGCTGGAAAGGAGACTGTTTTCGGACTTCCGGAAGCCCCTTTTTCCCCCTCCCAGAGCCCCCAAAAACAGGCCATGTGGAGATTCCTGGGAGGGGCGGCGTAGGGTGGGTGGAGCCAGCCAGGGGTGGGATTTGGAGGTTCTCCGAACTGGCCATAACATTAGCTACGGGTTCTCCCGAACACGGGTGAACCCGTAGCATCCCACCCCTGCTCCTCCTCCTATTTTCCTCAACAATCCTGTGTGATGAATTGGGTTAAGAGTGAGTGACTGACTTAAAGTCACCTAGCTGGCTTTCATAGCTAAGATGGAACTAGTACTCATAGGCTCCTGGCTTGTAGCCTGGTGCATTCACCACTAAATCAAACTGGCCTCAGAGTTAAAGGCTAAAGTCATTGTTTTTTCAAACTTGGCAACTAAGATGTGTGGATTTCACCAATTCTCAGAATTCCTCAGGCAATACGCTGGCTAGGGAATTTTGGGGAGTTGAAGTCCGGACATCTTAAAGTTGCCAAAATATGAAAAACACTGGGCTAGACTCAGAAATAAACAAACAAACAAACACACCCACACAATCCTGAAGGCAGGTAATGACAAACCACTTCCTTTGTGTTGACAAAAAAGAGCTCTGTATACATATGTTCCTGTACTCACCACAAATTGAACTCAACTCAAGGTGTGTGTGTGTGTCCGTGTTACTTTACCTGTATTATTATAAAGATTTGAAATATCCACTTCCTTTGTAATTAGGTTGAAGAAAGAAGGAAGGAACATATACTATTTTCATCATAAAACAATCTCTATTACTGAAAAGAGATCTATGAGGCTAAAGGACATTAAAATCTATTTAGCATTACGTCTGGGCCGAGAGTTTAGACATGAAGAAGGGATAAGAGCCCCCCTGGTTGTTAAAATTGTTTTTGCTTGTTTATAATAAAGTTTTATTTTAAAATCTCAACATTCTGTGGGGATTTGAGTGCAGAAAAAGAAAAAGAAAGGAAGAAAAATCTTATCTCTTTATATTTATGATTCTTGACGAATGTATCTTTTCTTTTTATGTACACTGAGAGCATATGCACCAAGACAAATTCCTTATGTGTCCAATCACACTTGGCCAATAAAAAATTCTATTCTATTCTATTCTATTCTATTCTATTCTATTCTATTCTATTCTATTCTATTCTATTCTATTCTATTCTATTCTATGACATCCAGAAAATAAAATTGTTATGTATGTATGGGGAGAGGGAGGGAGGGAGGGAGGGAGAGAGGGAGGGAGAGAGAGAGAGTTTGAATATATTCAGAAAAATGGAGAGAGAGAGAGAGAGGTTATACTATATATTTTTATGACATTTTTAATTGATATTAGCCAGCAAGAGGGATGAATTTGGAACAGGAAGCCATATACAGGTAGTTTTCAACTTATGGCATACTGCAAGGGTCATAAGTGTGAAAAATGGGTATAAGGCACTTTTTCCAGGGCTGTAACTTCCAACGATCACTAAACAAATGGTTGTAAGCCAAGGACTACCTATAAATTAAATAACTACCTCCAATAAACATTCATAGGAGAGTGGGATTTTATATATACCAGTTATCAATGCATTCAGAAAAATGCTCAATTAGTGTGCATACACGTTTGCATATATACACCACATAAATACCCACCAAACTAGGTGACGTCATCAGTGCTAGTCAAGTAGTCATCATCAACTAGCACTGATGATGTTACCTAGTTTGGTAATGAAACGTCTGCAAGAAAACAACCAAGCACCAGGACCCTCAAAGCTTTTATGAAATGGTTTGGCAATATTGCGGTATTTGAGGGGCTGCCACAAAGAAGAGGGGGCCAACTTATTTTCCAAAGGCAAGACAAAGAACAATGGATGGAAACTAATCAAGAAGAGACGCAAACAAATTAAGGAGAAATTTCTTGACAGTGAGAACAATTAATCAGTGAAACGACTTTACTCCAGAAGTTGTGGGGTGCTCCATCACTAGAGGTTTTTAAGAAGAGACTGGACAGGCACTGAAATGGTCTCCTGCTTGAGCAGGGGATTGGTCTAGAAGATCTCAAAAGTCCCTTCCAGCTCTATAGAAATTACCTGCCATGACTAGACAGTTGAGATCCTCTTTCCAAGCTTAATCATGGCTGGTCGGGCTCTGGATCCATACATTGCATGTGTCACAGGAAAAAGGGCATTGTAATATTGTAACTTTCACTTTCCATGCTTGTTTCAAAAAGGTAAGAAGGTAGATTCTGTAAATTCCCCTTTCCTCTACATGTTTTTCCCCTCTCTTTCGAGAGATCTGGCCTGGTTTGTGCTTGAACAGGGGGATGGATTAGAAGACCTCCAGGCAGTGGTGAAATCCAATTTTTTTTACTACCGGTTCTGTGGGTGTGGCGTGGTGGGCGTGGTGTGGCTTGGTGGGTGTGGCAGGGGAAGGGTACTGCAAAATCTCCATTCCCACTCCACTCCTGAGGGAAGGATATTACAAAATCCCCATTCCCTCCCCACTCCTGGGGAGGATATTGCAAAATCCCCATTCCCTCCCCACTCCTGAGGGAAGGATATTGCAAAATCTCCATTCCCACCTCACTCTGGGGTCAGCCAGAGGTGATATTTCCCGGTTCTCCGAACTGCTCAAAATTTCTGCTACCAGTTCTCCAGAACCTGTCAGAACCTGCTGGATTTCACCCTGCCTCCAGGGTCTATTCCGATTGATTGACCCCTCACTTCAACCCCGAGCTACAAATATTCTCCTTTATTGGCATCACACTGTGAATATCTGTATGCAGACTCAGTACAGGTAGTCCTCGACTTACAACATTTAGTGACCCTTCGAAGTTGCAACAGCACTGGAAAAAAGGACTTACAACCATTTTTGCACACGGACAACCGTTGCAACATCCCCACGGTCACATGATTTACACTCGGATGCTTGACAACGGACTCACACTTACGACGGTTGCAGTGCCCCTTTTGCGGCAAAGCCAACGGGAGGCAGCCTGACACACTTAACAACCAGGTTATTAAGCTGCAATGATTCACTTAACAAGCGTGGCCCGGAAGGTGGTAAAACGGGGCAGAGCTCAAAAGACTTAACAAACGCCTCGCTTAGCAACATAAATTCTGGGCTCAGTTGCGGATCCTAAGCCGAAGACGGAAGAGGGCAGCGCGGATGGGGACACCTGGCACACAGGGTGGGGTGGACTGATCACAGAATGAGACCTATATTATGAATTTTGCCTGCAAGAGAAACTCGAACCCTTGGAGCAATGTTGGCTGGGGGATTCTGGGAGTTGAAGTCCACCCATCTTCCAGCTACCAAGGTTGAGAAACACTGCCTTGGAGGAACCAGGTGGATTTCTTGACCCATCCTGGAGATCCACTGGAACCCACTTCTGCACTCGGGCGAGCAAGGCCACGAGTGGATGGAGGACCCCCACCGGATCCCACTTTGAGTAGCAAGCAGGGGGTGGATCTGCTGTAGTAGCCCCCCACCCCACCCAACCACCCCCCACCCACCCACGGGCATGTCACAACCGACCCACGCACTCTCAGCCTGCTTGCCATTCCTCCCCCCCTCCCCAAAAGAGAACGAGACACGCCCCCACACACACACAGGCGGAGCATGGGACACAATGGAGCCCCTCCTGAGGGACCCTCCCCTTCTTCCCCCCCCCCCCCATGAATCTCTCTTTCGCCCTCCGGGGCTGGGCTACCTGGCCGGTCCGGGGCTTCCCGCGGCTGCTGCCGCCGCCGCTGTGGCTGCTCCGGCGCCGCCCGTCGTTGAGTTCGGCATCCCCGGCGGTCCGGCTGAGACGGTGGGTACCCCGGCGGGGGCGGCTCCGGCCCCCAGCCCCGCCGGCCGCAGCGCCATTTTGACGCCGCCTCCGCCTCCTGTCAGCTGGGCCCGCCGCCGCCACTTCCGGGGCAGAGCCCGGTGCGCTCTTTCTCTCTCTCTCCCTGGATGGGTGGATCGGGCAGGCGGGGTGTTTGCTGGAGGGTTTTTACTACGCTCCTCGGTCTCTGGAGGCTTGGCGGGGTGGAGCCTCCCGGAGGGAGCCCTTGTGGCCATCTAGGCCACCCTCCCCCCGGTCTGGTCAGGGGCAGGAAGGACTGCTGAAGGACTCCGCATGCCATCGTCCCCGGCACAGAAAGGACTCCCCATGCGATGGATGGACTCTACATGCCATTATCCCCGACACAGAAACAACTTCCAATACGAAGGACTCCACATGCAATTGTCCCCGGCACAAAAAGGGACTGCAATTGCAAAGGATTCTAGATGCCATCATCCCCGGCGCAGAAAGGACTCCACATACAATCGTCCTTGGCACAGAAAGGGACTCCAGATGCGAAGGATTCTAGATGCCATCATCCCCGCACAGAAAGGGACTCCACATGCAATCGTCCCCGGCACAGAAAGGGACTCCAGATGCGAAGGATTCTAGATGCCATCATCCCCAGCACAAAAGGACTCCACATGCAATCGTCCCCGGCACAAAAAGGGACTGCGGATGCGAAGGATTCTAGATGCCATCATCCCCAGCACAAAAGGACTCCACATGCAATCGTCCCCGGCACAAAAAGGGACTGCATGCGAAGGATTCTAGATGCCATCATCCCCAGCACAAAAGGACTCCACATGCAATTGTCCCTGGCAAAAAAAGGGACTGCAGATGCGAAGGATTCTAGATGCCATCATCCCCGGCACAGAAAAGGACTCCACATGCAATTGTCCCTGGCAAAAAAAAGGACTGCAGATGCGAAGGATTCTAGATGCCATCGTCCCCGGCACAGAAAGGACTCCCGATGCAATGGATGGACTCTACATGTCATTATCCCCGACACAGAAACAACTTCCAATACGAAGGACTCCACATGCAATTGTCCCCGGCACAAAAAGGGACTGCAGAGGCGAAGGATTCTAGATGCCATCATCCCCAGCACAGAAAGGACTCCATATGCAATCGTCCCCGGCACAAAAAGGGACTGCGGATGTGAAGGATTCTAGATGCATCATCCCCGGCACAGAAAGGACTCCACATGCAATCGTCCCCGGCATGGAAAGGGGCTCCCGATGTGAAGGATTCTAGATGCCATCATCCCCGGCACAGAAAGGACCCCACATGCAATCGTCCCCAGCATGGAAAGGGGCTCCAGATGTGGAGGATTCTAGATGCCATCATCCCCAGCACAGAAACAAGGGCTCCCAATGCAATCGTCCCTGGCACAGAAACAACTTCCAGTACAAAGGACTCTAGATGCCATTATCCCAGCACAGAAAGGACTCCCGATAGGAAGGATTCCACTTTTTTCGGAGGCAACTGGACTTTCTGGTTTTTTCTTTGACGACGTTTCGCTTCTCATCCAAGAAGCTTCTTCAACTCTGACTGGATGGTGGGGAATGGAACATTTATATTCCTTGCAGACAATCTGTTTACACATCTGGTTGAATTGACTGCAATTTAAATTCGTTTTAAGAAACTCTGTCAAAGTGGGAAAATATAAACACAGACCATGGGCCGAGGTGGCGCAGTAGTTAGGGTGTAGTACTGCACCTACTTCAGCTGACTGCTAGTTCAGCAGATCAGCGGATCAAATCTCACCGGCTCAAGGTTGACTCAGCCTTCCATCCTTCCAAGGTGGGTAAAATGAGGACCCAAATTGTTGGGGGCAATATGCTATTTAGTATACTGTCTTTGGTGTAAGCCGCCCAGAGTCCTCGGAGAGTGGGCAGCACAGAAATATGAATAATAATAATAATAAATAATGTATGTGTGACATTCATCTACTTTGGAACAGTATCTCCCATCTCTGCTTCTCTCCTTAAACATCCAACTTTAAAAGCATGAGAAATCTGTCCCAATAAGGACAGGGATACGAAAGGTTAATCTCATGTTTAAAGTAGAATGTATGGCAATTCCAGCTGAAACTTAGGATGGTAGGAACCCATGACGACTCTGTAAAACCTCCCAATGTTTTACAACACTTAATCTCAACGTTGCACATAAGCACAGACCAAAATACATACTAATATTTTAACAACACAACCACTTGGACTGAGGTTATTGACAAGAATATGGTTTTAGGTTTTATAATCTCAAAGATCCGGTATTCAAAAATCAAGTTAGATGGTACCTTTGCAGGATAATAAATTTTTCAAAAAGAATGAAAACCTCTGCTCTTTAATGAGCCTGAAAAGATGCTACCAGACTCTTATTTTTGCAAACTATCTGAATTCTTGAAAAAGAGTTATTTTCCGTCTTCTTTCCATTGATTTTTTAAATCCACTCCTCAGGTAATAAGGATGCAAAAGACGACTGCTACAATTGTGCCTTATTGTTATATATGTGGTGCAGAGACTGATGAGGATGACCAGAAAAAATTGGCAGTTCACTCCTTTCTATCCGTGACAGATAGTAGTGATGCTTGAACAGGGTCCACAGGATTGTTTGGGATGCTACACATCCTCTTCACAACCTGTTTGCCTTGTTACCTTCTGGGAAGAGGCTTCAGGAGATCTGAAGCAGAGCATCCAGAATCAGTCAGTTTTGTTCCATACAGTATCAACCTGTGAACTCTCAAGCTTCCTCTTTCCGTTATGTATTCAAGATGGACAATGATTAACATTTATATGTATGGGTGTAGGTATATACGTATGTATCAACCAAGCACAACCAAACCCTCACCCAAACAGAACACATCCCCATCCAATCAGAGCACAGCCAACCCCCCATCCAATCAGAGCACAGCCAAGCCCCCAACCAATCAGAACACACCTCCACCCAATCAGAACACAGCCAAGCTCCCACCCAATCAGTTCACACCCCCACTAGCAGTTAAAAGGAAGAAACAGCTGCGATCACACATTGCTCCTAGAAGCACGAAGCCGAAAACACCAGCCTGAAGATGAAGAATGAGACTTCGTCGAAACGTCACCAAGACACTTCCAATTTTACGTGGGAGAAAACCCAAATAACCAAAGACCTACATACGTATGTATATATATAGCAGGGGTGTCAAACTCCGTGGGCCAGATCTGACCTGCCCTGGAAACAATGAAGGACTGGCGTGTGGTGCCTCTGCCAGTGAAAACAGAGCTCGGGGGAGGGGGGGCATATGTGGCCCTCCTGGACCCCATTTCCAGCCGCGACAGCCGTTTTTACTGGCAGAGGGCCGCAGGCGGCTGTCTTGGCCGAAAATGGGGCCCTTGAAGGCCACATGTACCCCCCCCCCAAGCTCCGTTTTCACTGGCAGAGGGCTAGCAAAACAAACTAAAAACAAAAGGAGAAATGTTTCCCCTTTTGCATTTGAGCATGCAAGAAGGGGACAGGAAAGGAGAAAAGGAAAGAGGAAGGAAGGAAGGAAAGAAAAAGAAAGAAGAAAGGGAACAGTGGGAAGAGAGCAAGGAAGAAAAAATAAGGAAGGGAAGGAAGAAGAAAGGAGAAAGAAAAGGGAAGAAAAAGGAAGGAAGGAAAGTTATGAGAGTGAGGGAGGGTCTGAGGGAAGTCCAGCCTTAGCACTTGGCCACCAGAGATGCCCCCTCCCGCCAAGTGACATCGAGCTGCCTTGCCTATCCCAGCCACATCCACTCCGGCCCCGAGGTCAAACGCAACCCCTGATGAGGCTCTCAATGAAATTGAGTTTGGCACCTCTGGTATTTAGCATGTCTATATGGGTGTTATGTGTACACATGTGAGAGCAGGCAATAGAATTTCATCACTAATGTGTGCCAGGATGCCCACAATAAAAAATGACAATAAAGGTTGTTTTATATTGTCACCACAGAACCAGTAACTACATTCCGATATTTGATTTCCATAATCAATGACAAAGATTAGTAGTAGAAGTTCTCTCTTTTATTATGAGCCGAGAGTCATTTATCATAAGAGGAATCCTCTGCATCTGGAGTCCTTTCTGTGCCAGTGATGACTGCATCTGATATCTTCTTGTGGTGCGACACTTGCATTGGCACCATCACACTGTCACCAAGAAGGATGATCTGATTCAAGCCCCCCTTAATCAGGGGCTGGGGGATGAGGTACCCTGTAACTAAAGGTAAAGTAGAAAAACAGCAACCCACATATATCAAAGAAGCAAAATCAAAGTCTTTGTCCATCAAAAAAGGGCTCCCCAGGTTTATTCTTCTTGCAAAGATCAAAAAAATCCTTGTTCATTTTGACAAAGCAACTGAATTAATTTTCTGGAGTTGCCCGTTTCTGAAAATTGTTACTTTGGACTTCCTTGGAGTTCTTTTTCATTTTCCGGACAAGTGACCTATTAAAAGTAAACGGAACAAATAAATTGTAAGAACCACAGCCAACTTTCTGAAACTTTAAAAACCAAACCAAAAGTTAGTTACCACTTAACTTTTTTGTAGTAGGATATACACTCATTTCAATAATAATAATAATAATAAATTAAACCTGGATGCCACCCGACTTCCAGCGACTCTGAGTGGCTTGTTTATAGCTGAAAACCCAAAATCGGTGGTAGCAAACTACTTTGTATTCAGGTGGCTTGAAATTGATTCTTAAAACAATAATGGATCCTTGGAAATAGAGATTGTCCTTGTTTAACGACCACAACTGGGACAAGCAATTCGGTCATTAAGCAAAATATTTACTAAATGAAACCATGACTGTGCTTATGATTTTACTTCCATTTTCCTTCACTTTACAGGCCTCCAAAGGTTGTAAATGCAAGGACCGGTTACAAAGTTACTTTTTCATCTACTTTGTAACTCCGAACAGTTGCTAAATGAGGCAGTCACTAAATAAAGATTACCTTGATTCAAAACTTTGTAAATTCACAGCCAGAAACAACAAACAAGGGCTATTTTCTGTATTTAACACAGCACAATTTAATTGTCTTGTTTTAAACACTTAGAACTCACAACAACTTGCCAGTGAAATATTAATACAAAGTAGAATGAACATGAGATACTATGTTTATATGCTAATAAAGAAGGGAATGGCATGAACCATCTATTAAGAGCTACTTTTTAAAAAGTCAACCCAAACAGTGACAGATTTATAATTTTAAAAAAGTTGCATCTCTTGCTATGTTAATAAGATTTCTGACACTGATAC